ACGAGGCAATTTTTTTTCCCGCATTAGGTTGCCATTTCTTTTGGCGGTAGACCAGTTGACATCCTACGATTTACCCATAGCTGGTGAAGAAGAGGCTTCATACTTTTACCAAGGTTATTAGCACTTAAGTGAATATAATAGATTCGACTGGAATTAGAACTCGACTCTCCGATTCCTCAATAGGAGCCGCTATCCATTACTCCACCGCGCCTCCTCCAGTATTATTGCATATTAATATAACAATCAGAATAAGGAAATAATACTTTCTAATCATAGATGATAACTGAAAATCTCAGTTTGATATATGCTAAAATTTTGACGGCATGTGTGAAGTAGTTTAGATAAGAAAGTTTAAATAAATATTTATATACTGAAGAATTCGACTTTAAAAGAACACAAGTTGTTTTAAAATGAAAAAAAAATAAAACAAAATAAAATTCTTCAATGAATAGTTTTCGTTCTTTTTACACAGCTTTTGAAGTATAAAGAATGTTCGTTTCAAAAATACTTGCGAAATCTTGAGAAAGCTTCTTCTGCGTTTCAAAATCGTTAATCGCTGTAATTTAATTAGCCGAATTTGAATGAAGCAGGCATGTAGCAGCAATTCAAACATTGGTATACTCCTTCTTTGTGTTGTTCGATTGTCTATTCTCTTAATTGTTTTTAATCATATGAAAACGCCCTTAATGGTATTAGAACATAACTGAATTTGTCAACAAATAATTATAATTTAAATTCAAACTTCTTTCTTTTGGGGCATTGGAAAATTATAAAATGTATATAATTCTTATATGATCCAAACTTTCATCAAAAGAATTGCAGTTTCTAGAAATAATACATACGCATCACAAATAACGTTTCACATATATATATATATATATATATATATATATATATATATATATTTATATATGTATATTATATATTTGTGATGTGTTATGTGTTCTTGCGTATAATTATCTGTATACTTATCTGATATATATATATATATATATATATATATATATATATATATATATATATATATATATATGTCTGTGTGTATATATATATATATGTGTGTGTGTGTGTGCGTGTAAAAAGAGAAAAGAACAGATAGAATAATCCACCGTTCTTAGCATTTACTTTTTAAATATATATGTATACGTGCATATATGTATGTATATATATATATATATATATATATATATATATATATATATACGTGTGTATATATACATACATAACTATACATATTATATTTAAGTTATACATATGTGTATATATATATATATATATATATATATATATATATATATATATATATATATATATATATATATATATATATATATATATAACACCTATGTATAATGTAGATCCATATGTATGTAGAACCATAGTCAAGATTCATATTTGTGTTTATAGAGTGTTATATGAAGAAGTAAAATTGTTTTCATACATGACCATACACACGGCCAGAAGTTATATAAAGTTCTTCGGCCATTGCTTTATATTCAGAGGTTTTCTTCTTTTAGACCGAGTTTGCCAAAGAAGGCTATTGAGTCCAGTCTGTTTTATTATTGGGTAAATAGTAAAACAGACTGGACTCAATTAACTTTGACGGGGAAATTGAATATATGGAACTCAACTGAAATTCTATATTAAACAAAAATTGTTTGAGAGAGAATTATTGCTGCCGACATACACTTTTATATATATATATATATATATATATATATATATATATATATATATATATATATATATACATACATAATGAACAAAAAAAAATCAACACGATCGGCAACATTTTTAGACACCCACATCTACATCGATAAAAACAGAAAACTACAAACACACTACAGACTAAAATCACCGACACCCACAACTATCTACAATTTAAGTCTTCCCACCCAAGACACCTCAAGGAAAACATTTCTGCCTGGAAAAAAAATGATTTTAAAAGCCATGCAAAGTTCAATATAATTGAAAAAATAGAATAGACAAATAAGATGACCTTGGAAAAATATTCGAGGAACATGAAGACAAATGAATTTTCCGCCTCAAAACACGGGCCTGACCACAAATTTAACAACATAGATAGAATATATAACCCCATAAATCAAGCCTTACCCACATTTATTACCCACACAAAACAGACATACTTGCAGAGGTGTTGAGGTTTCACACTTATACACATACTAACACTAATATATATACATCACACACACACCCAAAGAACTAAAGATAACATAAGTTAACACACACATCCCATTCCCAGCAATCAATAAACTTGTCAAAATGACCAAGTGCCATCATCTATCTTAAAAACAACTTCAAAGGGGCCGTTTGTCCAACAAAAGGACTGACAAAATTAACGATAAATGAAATGAAGACAAATGAAAACTACAGATAAAGTTCACTTACTTCAGAAACAGTCATTGACTCCTGCAGTTTACTGTTACTAACAAGTAAGGATATTTTTTCTCCTGATGATTGCCATGCTGGCCGAAACTAGTCAAAGAAACTAACTGAAATAATAAAACAAAAAATATTAATATACAACCCAGTGTGCCTGAAAATTGTGATTTTTTAATATTTTTTTATTGTTCAAAACACACACACACACACCTTGGGGACCTTGTGGCACGTAGTTCACCAGGTCTCTGAATTCGTCCCTTCAAAAAGTGTGGATGGTCCTGCATGAAACCTTCACCACTATAATCAAATCTCATGTGCTGTTGTCGGGCTGTCGGTTTCCTAGGAACTGATCTGTTTGACCCTCATACGTCGAATTCGACGGGAGAGTCAATATATATATATATATATATATATATATAGAGAGAGAGAGAGAGAGAGAGAGAGAGAGAGAGTGATTGTCACATCTTACTCAAATGGGCGCCACCTTCTCGGCCTTAATATCATCTGTAATGACTTCCGTCTCTATTCGGTGTCCATGGTCTAATAAGATGACTCTTGAGACAAGCATTCGATTTCACAGCGTATATGACAGATAAACTCTGTATCCTTCATTGGGTTGATTGGATCTGCATGCCCTACAATTTTTCTGTGTACTACTATGCACCTTATACCTATGCAGTATAAAAATAATGTAATTGATAATTGTGAATTTCTTTCGTAAATGCGTTTGAAACGCGCTCTGTTAATTCAAACATTATTGTTATTAAAAGTACTTAGGAAAATAAAAGAAATTAAATAGTCTACGGCGCCTTCCTTAATTATTTTAAGAACAACATTAAGAAATGCAATGGATTTTAGTGATATCACTAAAATACTCGATTCTGTACTAACTCACACTCACACAGAATATGTGACACATTTTTGTCCGTTTTGAAGGACCTGCATGTGTATTTACACTTTCACATATACTAACCAATCACCCTCATAGAATTTGAATTTTCAAACGACAATGTTTATCGTCTAGTACGAAAATTTTAAAGCTCATGTCTGAAAATGATCAACAATATTTTCGTTCCTTAAAATAGATATTTAAAAATTGGGAATATTTTTCTTCCTTAAAATAGATATTTAAAAATTGGGAATATTTTTCTTCCTTAAAATAGATATTTAAAAATTGGGAATATTTTTCTTCCTTAAAATAGATATTTAAAAATTGGGAATATACTTACTAACCAATAAACTTATGAGTTTAATAAAGTATAACTTTTAGTCTTTCCGGAGCTGATTTCTCGGTGATAAAAGCGCAAACATTAGTTTTCAGATTTTTCCGTGAACCTTTCATCAGGTTTTTCGTTCATTTTTATAGAGGCTGAATTACCAAACCTTTATTAATTACTCACATTTTTGCATATTTATCCGAGTATACTACATTACAAAAAGGCTTGGAGATGTTGAATTAAGAAGCACAAAAACATACGAACCGAGTTATTTATCAGCACAGATTTTAGCAATAGTATTAAAACAGCTTCATCTACTATCCACTAGCTGCTGCTACTAGAACATTGCACGCATACATAAAATAACATAAATACGTGAGATACCCATTCTCACATGTAAACACATTCTATTTTTTATCATATTAATGCAATTGATACGGTTGTATTGTAAAGAATGACACATAAAAATATTTTCTGTGAAGCTGTTTCGCAAAGCATATTTGTAATTCATTTCTTTTAATTTGAAAGAATGTTAATATTCAATAATAAAAATGTATTTAAATTGTTGAAGTGTTGAAAATTGTTTATTTCTTCACTTTATCTACGCATATTCTTTTGCATATATATATATATATATATATATATATATATATATATATATATATATATACGTACTTACCTATACATAAGAATATATGACCATCATAGCTTTGCTTCTTTGATCTTCACTGAATATCACAATATCTTGACTTTGTACCATGCTGAATTAAACTTGGTTATTACCTACACTTACATATACATTTTATATCTGGTTATTCTACGAATGTTACTAGTGCCATATAACGTAGAACTTTCTGCGGCATGGTCAAGTCTTTGGATGACTAACCGGTTCCCCCACCAGCAATTCTTTTGATGAGGAGTGTGGCTAGACGCCCAGCAAGATTAAATAAAATAAGACTGATTAACCTTTTAGTAGATTTATTGCTCCTCTAACACAATCGGGTAGATTGGGTTTCATAGTTATGCATGCTGGTAATGGGGTAATGATGTGTTTTGATGGGTGGGAGACTTCCTAAACTGATAAAAACAAAAACGATTAAACCAGATTTAATGAACATTGCATAATGGTAATATGACTTCGCCTTGGAAATTCAGAGATAAATTTTCAATACGCCAATATTATTATTATTATTATTATTATTATTACTGTTAGTATTATTAATTCTTTTTTTCTGTTTATATTGATGATGACGTTGAACTTTCTTTTGTTGTCATAGTTATTCGACTTCGACTTCAGTTTTTTCTTTACAGTTTCTTTTGTCTTGATTTTTTTTTCACCTCTTTAAGTTAAAAACGTCTAAAAGAATTACTGAAAGTTAGCTTGTTCTATATTCCCTCTCTTTCTATATTACTTTTTTATTTTTTTTCTCTTTTTCTTTTTCATTCTTATTTTCTTTCTTTATTTCCGATGATAGTATTTTTGTATCTCTTCATTTTCTATGCTTTAATTTGTTTATTCTTTTTGTTTTTCATTTCTTTCTATTTTCATTCTTTCGCCTTTCATCTTACTTTTTTATTTTCTTTCATTAATCTAAAGTTTTTTGTTTTTGTTTTTTGTTTTCTCTTTTTTCATATTTTATTTCTTTATTCACTTTTTATGCTCTTTTTCCTCTTTTTGTGTCTTTTTTATTTTTCTTAGTCTTTTCATTATTTTTTTGTTTCCCTTTTATTTTTGTGCTCTCTCTCCCTCACCCCCTATCTGTCTCTCTCTCACTCCCCCTCCCTCTCTTTCTCCCCTCTATCTCTCCCTATCTGTCTCTCTCACTCCCCTCTCTCCTCTCTCTTATTCCCACTCTCTCACTTCCTATCTGTCTCACTCACTCCCCCCTATCTCCTCTCTCTCTGTTCCTAACAAACTTGCCTTGCTTCTCTTTTAAATTCTTTTTTTATCTGCTCCTTCCCCCTCTTGTGTCCTGTTTACTTTCACTTTCACAATCCTGATCACCAGGACAGCAAGATGCCATCCAGTCTAGGCAAATGGGCGTGGCTGTGACTGGCGCGTGTCAAGAATTCAGTTCACGGTTGAGCAGTTTGCCTCATTGCTAAATTATACACGGTTGTTAGAAATAGGTTTCCTCGTAGACGGAGCCAGTCTCATTCATTCTGATTAGGAAATGGCCCTTGATTCTGGACTGTGTCAAAGGTCGTACCCAGATGTCAAAACTATGAATTTAAAGGGAACCTGGTGTATTTCACGATCAATTAGAGGAGGAGAGTTCCAATGCTTTCAGGCTGTCCACAATCGATGCATAATACAGTGTGCCAGTGAGCTTCAGAGGTCTACCTGTAGGGGTTAAGCGACCTATTCCACAGGAAAGGGATGGGTAGGGTAACAACAGTGTCTCACAGAGAGACAGACACAGACAGCAATCGTGGGGAGACTGGAAAGCAGACAATGCAAAAGAGTAAAAATGACAGAGAAATAGATTTGGTGAGGAGGTTCCAGAGTCTTGACAAAAATGGTCGAATAATATGATCGTAAAATAGAGACGGAAAAATAAAGAACAAAATATGTGTTACATTATATGTGATTTAAAAAAAAATAGAAAGTAAAAGCTTTAAAAAGTAAATGGAAGATAATGAACATACAAAAAATAAATAAAAATATCGTAAAAGAAAGAAAGTGAAAGTAATACAAGGAGGAAATAAAACGAAAGTAAGTGAAAGAAAGAAAGAAAGAAAGAAAGAAAGAAAGAAAGAAAGAAAATGTAAATAATAGAAGGAGGAAGAAAAACGAAAGTAATGGTAGAAAGAAAGAAAGAAAGAAAGAAAGAAAGAAAGAAAGAAAGAAAGAAAGAAAGAAAGAAAATGTAAATAATAGAAGGAGGAAGAAAAACGAAAGTAATGGTAGAAAGAAAGAAAGAAAGAAAGAAAGAAATAAAGAAAGAAAGAAAGAAAGAAAGTGTGAATAATAGAAGGAGGAAGAAAAACGAAAGAAAGAAAGAAAGAAAAAAGAAAGAAAGAAAGAAAGTGTAAATAATAGAAGGAGGAAGAAAAACGAAAGAAAGAAAGAAAGAAAGAAAGAAAGAAAGAAAGAAAGAAAGAAAGAAAGAAAGAAAGAAAGAACGAAAGAACTACGCACAAGGAAAAAGACAGAAAAGATAGAATAACAGAAATAAAAACAGAAAGAAATAGAAGGAAATAAAGAAGGAAAGGACAGGTCAAAAGAGGTAAAAGAAATAAAAATAAAGAAAGAAAACCTATATAAAAATAAGGGGAGAAAAAGAGGAAGAAAGGAAAAGGATATCGGAACAATAGCTAGCTAGATAGATAGATAGAGAGAGAAAGAAGGAGGGAGAGAGAGAGAGTGAGAGAGAGAGATATGAAAATCAGGTAAATATAAAGTTAAAAGAAAGAAATTACATTACATTAAAAAGTAAAATGTATATTTGGTTATACTATGAGACTACTTGGTAGGTTAAACAGCTATATATTTTTGTCGTGCCCAGTGTTAGAATCTAGCCAGTGAACAAGATTTCGAATACAGATTTTCAAGACAACAATGACCTCATAACAATTATTGAATTTATTTCCTTTCATTCTGTTTCTTTCTAATAACTGGCAGTTACATGGTCTTATGTAACTCACATCTCTAGAAAACACTCACGTTTTTGGCATGTCATACTTTTATTTTCGTAATAGCAATCATTTTTCTTACTCATCTCTACTTCATAGTACACATTTATTTCATTACCTTTACGCTTCTCATTTTTAATTTATACATTTCTTTCATCATATTCATCCATCGATTTCTTTCTTTCAACATGACATGTCAAAGGCAAAAGGTTTCTAGAAATGTGCGTAATGAAGTCGTGAAGTGGAAAAAAATGACAATGTATCCAGAAATATGACGCATATAATAATATAAGGAAAATATATTTACAGATCACCAGGAACAATATGTTCAATTTTATTCTTTTAAAGACGTACAAATTTAGTAAGGAATATTTGTAATTCAAACATGTTGATGCATTTCTCTAGTAAAATCAGTTCTAATACATTTCTCGCTTATCATAATTTTCAATGTATTTCTAGAGTGAAATCATTAATAATGAAGTTAAATTAAACATATTAGTGAGAGTCGCATTAATTCCTGACCATTGACAATCCCTTTCTTCCTGGTTTTTGCTGCATTCTGTAATGGAATTATTAATACATTTCTCGCTTATCATAATTTTCAATGTATTTCTAGAGTGAAATCATTAATAATGAAGTTAAATTAAACATATTAGTGAGAGTCGCATTAATTCCTGACCATTGACAATCCCTTTCTTCCTGGTTTTTGCTGCATTCTGTAATGGAATTATTAGCGATTCGTTTTCACTGTATCCATCCATGAACATTGACAGTTCATTTCTTAGATTCATTTTTAATGCAGAACAGATTGATTACCACAATTTAGTTTTAAAAAAAGTACAAAATTCACTATATATTTTCCTTAATACCATAAATATGTGCAAACTTAATTAGCATCAGCCATCAAGATAGAATTTGGTCTCTGCTGCTATTTACTAATAACTGTGGGAGAAGAGTATTCATACCTTCCTCAACGGTATTAGTACGTAAGTGAATGTAATGGATTTGACTCGAATTCGAAATCGGCTCTCCAGTCCCTCAATCCGAGCCACTATCCATTAATCCACCGTGGCTCTTCTTTTATATTTATAATGAGTTTAAATGGAAACTGTGCTTTAATATAACATAATTTATGGTTTCATTTTCCGCTGATGTAGGAATTTACTGTTACTCTATCTTGACAATATATTAGTCACTTTCCTGAATTCATTTTTATATAGTTTTCAATTATATCTCACTCATTATATAGATTACATATACAGCTATTATTTCAGACATTGTTATAGTAGACACTTCGCATTTGAAATAGACGCCATATTTTTAATTATTAAACAGTGTGTATTACAACTATCGTCATGTGCATTCGAGAAATCTTAGTAAGGAAAATGCAATCCATGCAGAGATCAAACGAATGAACATAATTCACACTTTAATAAATAAAAATGGGGCGTCTATTTAAAAAAAAATTGTCTACTACAATAATGTTTGAAATAATAAAATGTCAGAGTAAAAATAAATCCATTAGTTCTTTAGAAACATACAGCTATTAAATAAATAATTTGCAATGCATCGTTATAGTAAAATAAATCACAGCTCTTTTTTATAATAAAATAATGTGCCACGCATTTTTCAAGTAAAATAATTTGCAATATATTCCTATATTCTTCTATGTACCGCAACCTTTCAGGACATGAGCGATCATGGCTCTCCACGATTTCCTATCCTTTGGAGCGCTTAGCAATGTTTACCTTTTTCCTGTCTCCCAATCCCTGTTCTGACAAACATTTATGCAAGCTCATTAGGTAGGTTACTTGCTGTTTTCCCCATGCTCCTCTTACACTCAGTATGTCCTTTGAGTGTCAAATTCTCCAAGTCCTTTTTCCTCATTATGTGTCCTAGAAATTGCAACTGTCTCTTTCTGATTCTTCGCATGTGTCACTTTTGTTTTCATTTCTTTAAAACTTCATCGTTTCTCACATGCTCCGTCTATGGTACTCTCAACAGCCTTCTGTGAAACCACATCTCAGTTGCAACAAGTCTTTTCTTTATCTATGAGTAAATCATCTAACATTTACAGGCATGTATGAAGATTGATATTACATAGCAGCGAAACTCATTTTTCTTTGTCTGTAATGAACGCTAGAATCAGGTGTATTAGGATACCAAAAGATACTTCCCAAAAGATAAGCAATGTATTAAGATATGGGAAAATTTTGTTACAAACAAACAAAAAATAACTGAACAGGTACATAATATCAGTCCTCCTATGGCAGTGAATGCTGGACAATCTCCTTACAGATGAAGAAGTCACTTGAAGCAACAGAAATGTGGTTCTACAGAAAGATGCTGAGAATACCAGAGACTGAACATGTGAGCAACGAGGAAGTTTTCAAGAAAATGGAAAGAAAAAGTTTGCTTAAATTTAACAACGTAAAAAACAGTAGAAATTTCTAGGGCATTTAATGGGGGCTTGAACAATTAGATACTCGCAGGATATATTGAATGCTAGAGAGACAGAGAAAAACAACACACAACCTGCCTAACGAGCCTTAGTAAATGAATGGCAGAAAAGGGTTTAGCAAAGATATGGTTAGTCACATTACAGATTATATGCAATCATCAAAGGAGTTAGCCACATTACAAGTTATGTGCAATAGATCACAACAGTTAGTCATATTACAGATTATATACAATCCATCAGGGGAGTTAGTTACATTACAGATTATATGCAGTCATCAAAGAAGTTAGCCTCATTATGATCATATTCTTTCTGTCAGAGCATTTAGCCATATTACAGATTATAATAGTTAGTCATATTACAGATTTTATGCATTCTATCAGGGGATTTAGCCATATTACAGATTATGTGCAAACATCACATAATGAGTATATATATGCAATCATCAGAGAAGTTAGACACATTACAGATTGTATGCTTTCCATCAAAGCATTTAGCCACATTGCAGATTATTTGTAATCCTCAGAAAAGTGAGACACATTACAAAATATATGCAATCATCAGAGGAGCTAGCCATATTACAGATTATGTACATTTCCATCACAAAGGTTAGTCACATTACACATTATGTGAAATTATTAGAGGAGTTAGCCATATTACAGATTATGTGTAATCCATCACAGACGTTAGCTACTTTACAGATTATATGCATTCAGTTAGTCTCATCACAGATTATGTACAATCCAACACAGTGATTAGTCATATTACAGATTATGTGCAATCACGCAGAAGAATCAACCACATTACAAACTATGTGCAATCTATCACACATGTTAGTCACAT